TGGTCGGGTTCCCGGCCGGCTTGTCTCCCACTTCCTTTCATTTGTCTTCCACTTCTTTTCATTTGTCTCCCAAGCTAGTTGCTTGTGGTTGGGTTCCCGGCTGGCTTGTCTCCCACTTCCTTTCATTCGTCTCCCACTTCTTTTCATTTGTCTCCTAGGCTGGGTGCTTGTAGTCTTTTCCGCTGGCTATGCAGCATTTCGATTCCTTTGTCTCCCAGGTCTGTCACTGCTGCTGTCCGCCCTTTTTCACTGGCGATGCGCCATCTATATTCATTTGTCTCCCAGGTCTGCCGCCCTGTGACGTTGGCCATGCAACATTTCTATGCATTTGTCTCCGAGGTCTGTTGCAGCATTTCTATTCATTTGTCTCCCAGGCCTGTCACTGGTGATGTCCACCCCTTTCTGCTGGCCATGTAGCATTTCTATTCATTTGTCTCCCAGGTCTATCGCTGGCGTTGTCCGCCCTTTTCCGCTGGCGATGCAATATTTCTATTCGTTTGTCTCCCAGGTCTGTCACTGGTGGTGTCCACCCGTTTCCGCTGCTTCTATTCATTTGTCTCCCATGTCTGTCATTGCTAGTGTCCGCCCTTTGCCGCTGTCCACGCAGCATTTCTTTTCAATTGTCCCCCAGGCTTGTCACTGGTGGTGTCCGCCCTTTTCCACTGTTTCTATTCATTTGTCTCCCAGGTCTGTCACTGCTCGTTTCTGCCCTTTTCCGTTGGCCATGTCACTGCTGGTGTCCGCCCTTTTCCGCTGGCGATGCAACATTTCTATTTATTTGTCTCCCATGTTTGTCACTTGCGGTGTCCGCCCTTTGACGCTGGCGATGCAACACTTCTATTGATTTGCTTCAGGTTTGTCACTGCTGGTGTCCGCCCTTTTCCGCCGGCAATGCACCGTTTCTATTCATGTGTCGCCCAGGTCTGTCACTGCTGGTGTCCGCCCTTTTCCGTCCGCCATGCAGCATTTCTATTCATTAGTCTCCCAGGTCTGTCACTGCTGGTGTCCGCCCTTTTCCGCTGGCCATGTAGCACTTCTATTCATTTGTTTTCCAGGTCTGTCACTGCTGGTGTCCGCCCTTTTCCGCTGGCCATGCAGCATTTCTATTCATTTGTTTCCCGGGTCTGTCACTGGTGTTGCCGCCCTTTTCCGCTGGCCATGTAGCATTTGCATTCATTTGTCTCCCATGTGATTTCTTTCTTTTTGTCTTTCAGGTTTGGTGCCTGCACTGCTGTTTTCTGTCCTGTCCGCTGGAACAGGTTCACCTGTACAAGGTTCTTGCTCCTTTGAAAGGGGTGCGTGACTATCTCCGGGATTGCATTCCTGCCGCACCGTGTAACTGTCTTAGCTTTGTTTTCCTTTTCGGGCAAGCGTTGGATGAATGACCGGATTGGACTGCGGCGGCGTGGCAGCGATCTCTCTGTTCAGTTGGGACGGAGGGCATGCGTCAGGCACCAAAAATCAATTTCATGTCACATCCTTCGCTCCTCATGCTTTTGTTTCTTGTCCTCACGTGGTCAGCTCATCGCTGATTGAGCAGCATGACCAGCATCATGTTCGCACTTGAAGAATAATTCCCCAAAAGGTTTACTGTTAGGGCTGCCCCATTCTTTCTTAAGATGTGTCCGCCGCTCTGTACTGCTGTGTCCGTCTCTGCCTTGCAATCCTTTACATTTGTCTCCCAGCCCTGGGCTGCTGTGGGCGCCTCTGCCTTGCAATCCTTTGTCTCCCAGCTCTGGACGTCGCAAGCTCTAGTTTCGATATTGAAAAACACAAACTGTTTGGGGTCTACGGTGGTGTAATTTAGACGGTTAGGTCGAGGGCACACTCCTTGCGGCCGTTTCGGTTCATAGGCTGTGGTTTGAGGTTGATGACCTGCAATAAGTGCAGGTCTGGACCTCGGGCCCCAGGCGACTCCTGGTGCCTCGGCTGTTCATCGGTCGAGGCTCTCCTCTCGGACCTCCGCAGAGAGTGGGCGTCTGCACCCTTGCGGGAGGCCGCGGAGAGCGCGATCTTGGGTACCGCCTCCCTGGTGCGGAAGCTCCGGAGAACTGCGAACGCCGAGGCCGTGCAGGCACCTGCTGGCGGCGAGGCCGCGCGCCCTACGGGCGCTGGCCGTGAGGAGGAAGAAGAGGTCCCCGAGGAGGAAGCGATCTACGAGGAGGAGTCGGAGGAGCCGCCGCCTCGCCGGAACCCGGCAGGGTCGACCCCAAAGTCACGACCAGCTTTGAAGAGGCCAAGAACACCACCTCGCCCTCCACCGGGGCATCACACAGGTCACACTCGGAGGGAGGACGAGGGACATCGACATCGCCATCGTACTCAGGACGGGCAGAAAAAGCATAGAGGAGGGGCAAAGCATCAACAGCACTCCAGGCGAAACTCGGCTGGAGACACGAGGACTACGCATCGCCCGCTCGCTCGTGAACTGGAAGGACAGCCCGTGCTCGGGCGCTCCCCTCCGGGAGAGCGCTGAGTGCAGGCTGAGTCGATGGACAGGCAGGGGGGTCGCAGCCGGCCTTCAGGTGTGGGAACCGTGTTCGACGGCTCCTTAGACTGGGAGGCATGGTGCCAGGTCAGACCCGAAGAGTCGGACATCTTGGAGGTGACCGGCTTAGCAGGTTTGGAGGGTTGCGACGCTTCGAAAGGAGTGTTCTGGGTCCAATCCATCGCCGACGTCGATGCATTGGGTCTCAAGCTACAGGTGGCATTTTTGGGTGGCTCCGAGGGCACTACCGGGCCCACGCTTGCACAGATTTTCAACAGACGCAAGTCGGTGCTGCATCTATGTCATGGAGAGCTTCCGTGTTCAGTGGACGGTTGTGGAGGCCATGCTACGAGGTTCACACGTTACAAGGTGTACGACTACGATGTGTCTTACCTGCACCAGGAGGTTGCAAAGGCCTTCAAACGTCGGAAGCGCGAATGGGACAAACTCCGAGGAAAAGGACATTCAGGAGATGCTCTTTCAGGAGGCGACGATGGATCAGGTCGACCACGCGGAGACGGGCTCCGAGCGCCGGTCGCTGGAGACCATCTCGACGCGGACCCAGAGGAGCCACGGGGCGAACCGCTCTTTCCGGAGACTGGCGCAGGTGGCACTTGGGGGGAGTTGAAGCCTCCCGTGGAACTGGACAGAGGAGCGCAATTTCCCGTGGCTACCGACGAACGTCGGTCCGCGCTGAGGAAGACCCTGAGCGAGGCCAAGCAGCGTTTTCACGATGCACAGGGCAGAGGCCGGCAGTCCAGAGCCAGGCCTGGTGGAGAGCCTTTCAGCGTCTTCGACTCTGTACCGGAAGGGATGCCGCCTCCACCCACGACGAAGAGGGACTTCAAGACCAACAAGAAGGATTCTGCAGAGGTTCTCTCGCTAGAGGATACAAAAGATACTACTTCGAAACCCTCCAAGAAAAGGAAGGCAGCCGAGGACGACACACCTACCACCAGAGGGGTGTTGAAGCAGCTAGTTCATCAAGCCGCAAAGGAGCCGAAGAAGGAGAAGGCCAGCAGGAGGTCACGTTCATCATCGAGGACGGCTATGGCCCACAGGTTGATCAAGACGCTGGCCAAAGGCCTCGGCGTCAGGAAGCCAGACAAAGGAGAGGCGAGAAAGAGAAGGCGAAGAGACGGATCGTTTCCCCCTTCCTCCGGTCCCGATGGGTCCGACGAGACCAGCTGTTCAGGAGACGGCTACACCGACTCCTCGGGCGCCGACATCGAGCAGAAGGAGAAGGACAAGAGCACACCACCATTGGAGAGGATGAGCCAGAGGAAAGCCGGGTCTGTGCTTCAGGCCTTCGTCAACCACATGAGGGAATCGCTTCAGAACCTCGACGAAGGCAGTCTAGCGCCGGAGTACTTCCACCTGCAGATCAAACCTGCGATTGGCGCGAAGTCCCGAGAAGCCCGCGAGATCTACTGTCTCCTGCAGGGGATAGACCTGCTGAGATCTGGAAAACTGGACCAGTTGGGCGATCTCATGGCGGCCCGGGCGATGGCATGCAGTCCATCAGTCCGTCACCGATGGAGGATCGTGGAGAGCCGCGAAACACCTCGAGATCCGAGACTGGAACTGCTGCGAACACAAGCCTGATCCTGCAGGCCCGCAAGTTCGCAAAGGTCTCCGACAGGGCAGCCGGTCTCGGGCAAACAAGACCATGGGTGCCCAGGCCCTTTGCCAAGGGGGGCAAAGACTGGTACGACGAGGGCGATTCCTTCAAGGAGTACAAAGGCAAAGGCAAAGGCAAGAGAGGCAAAGGAAAGAGCGACAAGGGCAAGAAGCCATGGAAGGATGGGGCCCAGAAGGACTGGGCGAGCACTCAAGCCCCTCCGCCGGGGAAAGACGACAGCTGACTGTATCCGACCTTGGTCAGATCCTGGAGGCAGCACACGACACCACTACGTTGGGACTGGGCATCTCGTGCTTGGTTGATGCATTGAGCTATGAGTTGTCTCAGGCCGCGCGGACTCCCCCGCTGGCTATCCATTTGGGATTGAAGGCCGTGAAACGACGGGTGCTGAGAGTTAGGACCTCTCGCGCACTCCTACCCATTCCTGGGGAGGCCGTGGTACAGGTTCGCCCAGTTTCTCATCCCTTTGAACCGGAGGGGACGCTGCAGCGGATACGTTGTTTTCTTGAGCGCAGGCCGCCTTTCAGGGCCGTTGCGCCGTCGAGGCAGAGCGTTGAGGAGGAAGGAGCTGGTGCATGGGCGCTTAACAGCCTAGCGGGTTGCAACTTGCTGGCCGGACATCACTCGTTGCTGCCGAGTGGCAGACCTTCTGCCTTACAGTTGGCGGCGGTGGGAGAGCTCCAGGCCACCGTGACCCGCTCCATGTCCAGGAGCTTTGAACTCCGCTGGGCTCGAAAAGATTGCGCAGCTGAGTTGAAGCGGGCACACGTCTCATATACAGGGGAGGAGGTCGAGGTTGCACAGATTTTGTCGGTCGAGCAGATGAAACCTGCCTTACCCCCTTTTGGTTTTGGGGGAACAATTCAGGCGGTTGACTTCCTCTCCCCGGGGTCTCGTTTCTGGCTGGAGCATCCCGAACGTTTGTTGGGAGACCCTGCAGGTTTCTCCGGTTTGAAGTTCGAGGCCAAACTCCATATCTTGAAGGGACAGGAACTTGAGGTCGCTAAGCTTTTGGTAGATAGGAATGTTTGCACTTGGCTCGAACGTGAGAAGGTCTTTTCCTTCGGGGGCAGGAGACTTTACAACGGCATGTTCGGCGTCCGCAAGGACGCTTTGACTCCGTCGGGCAAACCCGTCCTACGTACCATCATGAACTTGACCCCCTGCAATTCCCTCTTCGTTCCCTTTCAGCAGGGTCATCGGGAGTTACCTTCGATCTTCACCTGGAACTCGATTGTCGTGACAGCATCGGACATCCTTGAGGTTTCCCAGAGTGACATGTCGTCAGCCTTTTACTTGTTCGCATTGCCCGCTCAGTGGAGGCCGTACTTCTGTTTTGCTATTAGTGCCGATGGCAGTGAGATAGGGCTAGTGAAGGGGAGGCGCTATGATCTTTGTTGTTCGTGCCTCCCCATGGGCTGGCATAGTTCGGTGGCCCTCATGCAGGAGATTTCTGCCCAGGTTTTGGTTTCGGGCCGTCTTCCAGCGTCACACCAACTAGCTCGGAACCGGCTGATCCCCTCCTGGTTGGTCAACCTTGAGAGCTTGGTCCCACCGGCTCATCGAGACTGGTGGCAGGTCTACCTCGACAACTTCGCGAGCGGGCTTGTCACCAATGCCTATGACGGGAGGAGTGTCCCGCCTGAGCGGCCACACCGCTGGCATGAGGAGGCAGAACGAGCCTGGGCTTCAGCGGGGATCGTCTCGTCGGAGAAGAAGCGGGTGACCCGAGCTCGCACAGCGGTCGAGCTGGGTGCCCACATTGACGGTGAGAAGCATTTAGTGGGAGGTTCACCGGAGAGACTTTTGAAGACTGCCAAACTCATCTTGTTTCTCCTTTGTTCATCTTTCACGGTGAAGGAACTTCAGACGGTGACCGGTAGGATCGTGTTCCTCATGTCGTTTCGTCGTCCCACGATGGCAGTGTTTAGTAAGACTTGGACTTACATTGCCAAGCCCGCTTTACGCCATCGACTGTTACCGGACGTGAGGAGAGAACTCTTTAATGCCCTCCTTCTTTTACCCCTCATGTTTCAGGACTTGACCGCCTCCATCCCGGCCGTAGTGACTTGTTCGGATGCTTCCCATGAGGGGGGAGCAACTGCAATTGCTGAGACTCTCACCGAGGAGGGGCAGGAGTTTCTTAAAGCTGCACTGGCGGACGAGCATCCTCCAGACAGGCAGTCGATCTTGGTTGTAAGTGCCTTTCATGGCATCGGAGGAGCCAGTCGAGCATACGACTTGTTGGGGGTGCAGGTTGAGGGCACAATTGTAATAGAAATCGACTCGGCAGCCAATCGCGTGACCTCCCGACGCTGGCCGTCGAGTGAGTTTTGGGGTGACATCCGTCAAGTCGATCATGACGCCGTCCGTGCATTGTCGGTCAGATTCTGCCATTGTACCAGGGTTGATTTCTGGGCGGGGTTCCCCTGCGTTGATCTCAGTTCCGCAAAGTTCGGTCGTCGTAATCTCGAGGGAAGCGAGAGCTCACTTATCTTTGAAGCACTTCGAGTTCTTCGTTTGCTGAGGGAACTCTTCCCTCCCACGACGGTCGTACATCATATATTCGAGAATGTTGCCAGTATGGATGTCAGTGCTATGGACGAAATCACCACACTTACGGGAACCAAGCCTTGGAGGTTGAACCCGGCCGACATCCTACCCATCTCCCGGCCAAGGTTCACGTGGACATCCTTCCCTCGAGCTCAGCTCGCGGGAATCCGGTGGCAAGATCGTGGTGGCTACTTTGAACTCGAACTTTCAGGCGAAGGGATCAGCCCTAGCCAGTGGCTGCGCCCGGGCTGCTTGTGGGAACCATTGGACCCAACCACCAAGTTCCCTACGTTCATGAAGAGTATCCCTCGGGTCCGGCCACCACCAGCCCCGATCGGTATTCGGAGGTGTGACGAGGGGACCCTCAGCAGGTGGGAGGCGGATTCTTTCCGGTTCCCGCCGTATCACTATTCTGAACCCTATGTGATTTGGCAAGGGGAGACCTGGCGGCTTCTACATGCTTCTGAGAGAGAGCTTTTGCTAGGATTCGGTTTTGGCCACACTAGTCTCGCATGGGGGGCCACTGCAGTAAAAGGAGACCTACAAGGCTTTGAGGATAAGCGTAAGAGCCTGTGCGGTGATTCGTTCAGCATGCTGTCATTCGGGACCGTGTTGGCGTGTAGCATGCCTTGGGTTGACTCACCCTTTTCAGTGTCGCATCTCGTTCGCCGGCTCGGTCTCGCACCGGGGTTCTGTACGGGTTGGACGGTCGCTGCCCCTGTGGCTCGCCGCCTCCAGTTCGGCGAAAGATCCACCGAATGGGCACCCGAATTTCCCGTCCGAGAGCTCAACAAGCTTTTCCTCCAACGCACCAACCATACAGGAGCTGATGTCCAAGTGGTTACAGGTCAGTTCTTGGGAAAATCACCAATACGCCAATCTGTGCCAAGTTGTCTTTGGAACTGGCGATTCCTTTTCCAGAATCGCTGGAGCCGACATGAACACATCAACGCGCTAGAGATGAGACAAGCCTTGATTTCACTTTCTTGGTTGCTGCGAGGGGGGTCTAATTTCAATTGTCGATGGGTGCACTTAAGCGACTCTTTTGTGACCATTTCGATCCTTTGCAAGGGCCGCACCGCATCCGACAAGCTAGAACATCTCGTTCGCCGCTTTAACGCCACAATGCTGGTTGCCCAAGTGTTCCCGATCCTTCTCCACGTAGCCTCCCTCGACAATCCCACGGATGAGGGATCTCGGAGGTTCCCGCAGGGCAGCCATGTTAGCACGGCGACGCCGCCGAGCCGGGATACCGCTAGCTGAAGCTGGTGTTTCGCCCAAGACCCGTTTGCGATATTTCGCTGGTCTTCAGCGAATTCTACAGTTCGTGACAGTGGCCTTGAGCTGGGCCGATCTTGACGATCGCATTGCAGGTTGGATTGAGCAACAGTGGGAGCTTGGTGAGACCATTGGGATCATTTCCGACAGCCTGTGCGGTTTGACCTTTTACCTTCCCGCTGCAAGACACCAGGTTCCTGAATGCTGGCGGCTTTTTCGAACGTGGCGGAAAGCCGAGATACCGAATCGGGCACCACCCATGCCAGCAGAGGTGCTGTGGGGCTTCACGGGTTTTTGTTTGTCCCACAACTGGCTCCGCACAGCTTGCATTTTGGCTACCGCCTTTCATTGCATGCTCCGGACCGGCGAGGCACTAGCCATCGCCCCAGGGGATTTTCTTCTACGTCGCGGACACGGTATCCTGAAACTTCATCAGACTAAGACTGGTCGTTCCTGGGATGAATACATCCGCATTGAAGATCCCCGAGTTCTCACTCTACTTGCCTCGCTGCTGCCTTGGCTGGGTGGTAACCATCCGGGCAAACCTTTGTGGCAAGGTTCCGCTCAACTTTTCCGCTCCACACTCCAGCAGATCGTCTCTCACTTTGCAGTGGAGCACTTACAACTACGGGGGTACTCCCTCCGTCGCGGGGGTGCGACTGATGACTTCGAGCGGTACGGTTCCTTAGAACGTACTTTACAACGCGGAAGATGGCAATCCTCTCGCGTTGCCAGGTTGTATCTGGCTGACGGGGCTGCCAGGCTGACTCAGCTACGTTTGAATACAGTACAACTAGCCCGGATTCGTCGTTACGCTGCCTTGTGCACTCTTTGACTTTTAACACTTTTCCCCCCGGGGCGTTCTTTAGTTTCACTCTTTCTTTCAGCTTCGCCGAGCAGTGATTGTGCATCACTGGGGGACGTGGAAGAATGGTTCTGTTGTCCAATTTCGAATGGCAATAAGTGGCCT